ATTATTAAATAATATTAACTAGGGGATACCCTTTGTCTGCCTAATAGCGGACCAAACCCGTTTTTTAAATTTCACAAATGAAAAAAGTGTATGAAAGACAGAAATTGTTAAAGAATGGAATGGGGGCGGGGTGGCCGAGAGGAATAAAGCGTGTGCACAGCACCTTGCCTTGTCCAGCAACCTGATAACCAAGTTTTGAGATAAACCAATAATTACGAGTTCAAATCCCGGTGCCTAGTGGGACATTTAATTCGGCATAATTCTCCTGCTCTTTCCCCCGGGCCGAGAAATACCCCGTGTAGTCTAAAAGGCAAGGAAGGGGAGAAAACAAATATTAAAGAATAGAATCGTTGAAGACATACATCCTGAACAGTTAGAAAAAATTGTTACCTAGGATTAGGGCGCAGTATTCGGAAATTCGCAAGGCATTGGTGTTCTGCGAACATTCAACCTTTTGTGTAAAAGAAAATATCGGTCACTAAATTTTTTTTATATAAAAAAGAGATAATGGTGGTGTCGGCATCGAACCTTCGGGTTCGCTAAGCCTTTTATTATTATTATTATTATTTAATAAAGAGATAGCAATACGCTAAATAAAGCTTAACAATTAATAAATTGAACATATTTATAATGAAGATAAAGTAAATAAACAGTTGTTTTTTTTTTAATAGGCTTAGTAGCTGATAATGCGTTATAATTTAAAAATTCAACGTATTCTAAATGTTGATTATTTAGTTCAAATTACTCACAGAAACAAATAAGGGCCAATAAAATAAAAATTAGTGTCTATATTAGGGGGGCTTCAACCCGAAAGCTTCCCCTCCCCCTCTCCCTAATCGATCCTTTACTAGCAAAAAAAATAATTGACTAAAATTATGTAACTAATTTATGTTCTTGAGTAAGAAAGACTAGTTTTTCAGGTGTTTTTATAATAAGAAATTACCTACCTCTCTTTAGCAATGCTTTAAAGGTATGCTGTAATTTTAAAAAAATGCATATTCATGTAACGTTATCGAGTATTTAACTGCCAATGAAACAGGAAAAATGGAGACATTTCCGTGTTACGAAACGCTTTTAACTTTTTTCAGTTTTCAGATTGTCGATGTTTTCATATATGTACTTTGCATTGAAACGAAAAATTTTCCAAAAATATAAAGAAATCGTCAGGCAATTAATACTGCGACATTGAACGAGTTCGCAATCTCTGCATTGATGCTTTTTAATAATAAAAAAATACATTTACAGTTATTGGTATGAAAGTTCTTGCAATTGTATTATTTGCATCTAAAACTGCTAGGTATCATTTTATACGGTTGCGAGACTTAGACACTAACCAGCACCCTAGAAGATAGTATTGGAAGATTTAGTTAGGAGACAAATCCAAGAATAGGTATCAGAAAATTAATGCATGAGAGAAACCAATGATAGCAAAAACTGGTCAATCAATTTCTCGTGATATGAAGGCAAGAAGGTTAAGATGAGCTGAGCGTGTAGCTAGGACCAATGCATATAGTCTTCCTTCTCTACACAACAATGAATACTTCAATAATCGGCAAAAGATCCCATGTAAGGCCAAATACTAAACGTATATATCGGATCAACAAAGATTCAGTAGAGCTACATGCAGATAACTGGAAATAAATAGCCCAATATAAGCTGAGTTGGAAAAAGCTGCTTAATCAAATGACCTATAAGGTCTGTAATTTCAATCGAAAAAAAAAATTGGATGTTTTAAAAGAATTGATAATTTTACTTTACAAAATTGTGTTTTGGTTTCTAAATAACTCCGCATTTTTTCTAGAAAGGGCTCTTCTTCTAATAGTTGACTCTATGGCGTCAAAATGAAATATTTAGAAAATAGTCTTATGAAATCGAGTGTGATTTTTCCTGCGCTATTATCAGGTTCGATATTTATTTTAGTCTATGACAAATTAAAATCCCATTGAAAAGGTAAATAAATAGCCCTAAGGTTCCTTGGGCACCATCGATACTTTACAATGGACCTTTTTTAAATAAAGATAAACATATTATGTAGAAATATTTTAATTTTGATTTTTAATATCGCCCTAGTGGTGATGAAGTTCTTATTAGGTCTTTTTTCTGAAGTCCAATGTTAAAAAGAGACAGAACAACAAATTGAAGATGTATTCTCTTTGACACTAACCCAATAGACTTTAACGTGTGCAATCCTGGGTTAGTTTAAGTTTGTGGAGAGCTTAAACAGTAGTCTTATTGCTTAAGTTAAGATATATTTTTCAATGTGCAAGCTAATTACTTTTAAGTAAACTGTTACTTAACATAGTCATTATAAAGCTAAGAAATTCACTAATTGAATGTGTTAAGAATACTACCATAGTAATAACATATTTTTTACACAGTAAAAAAGTCCTCATGTCACTTACATTTCAAATTATCAGTGCGCCGGTACATCGGTACCGGGCCATCTAGGAGGACCGATCTAGGAGGACAAAATTCATTGACCATAATTTTCGACTAGAACTCATGTATTTGTCACAAATAAGACTATTATGGTTTAAATGTATTTAATATTACATTAATTTATGGTAAAAGAAAAGAAAAAAATACAGATTTTTTTTGTAAATTGTGAAAAAAATTAGTATATATGATGACCATAATTTTCGATTATAAATCATTTATTCGTCACAAATAAATAAAAAAGATACTTTTATGGTTAAAATTACTTAATATAACCATATGTGCTTGTTTTAGGTGAAAATTTTCTAATATTATAAAATAAGGCTGTGTTTATTTCTTCACCATATTTATTTTAATTTACATATCTACGTTACGTAAATTTACATATTTACATATCTACGTTTCGGTAAGCCGGTAAGCCATCTTCAAGCCATTTTACCCAACCATGCTTTTTGCATGTAGTTCAAAGTCAGATTGAAGTTCGTTTTTTGAGTAGAATAGATTTTTTTTGTTAAAAATTTACAATGTTGTACAAATCAAACATCTATAAATAACATTATTTCACCCACACCAGTCTAGTTTATCATAACTGTCCATTTACTCGACTCATTAATAAATCAATAACTGTAAAATAATAATGCTTTAATTAATTTTATGATTTAATTAATATGTACCTACATTATCAATGAAAACATAATAAAAAAAAAAGATAAAGCAACCAAGATAAAAAGAAAGAACAGTTAATTGAACTGGTCTATATTTATCCTTAATTAGTGTGTTGGCCAACGCAATTTAAGGAATCCAGTGTGTTACATGCTGAAAATATAAACCAGTAAATCTTGTCAAGTTTTTCCTATACTATCGATTTGAAGTATGTCTTGTATACCACTGGATGCAGAGAGCAATGATAAGTATTTATATACGTTTCACATTCGCTTTTCACAGTAGGGAAGGATGTGGAACAGACTTTTAGAAATGAATTGTTTACTGCAAGTGCAGGTTTTCTGGGCTTTGAAGTAGACAATTTTGTTTTTCGTGCAAACCCTTATTTTTTCGGGATTTAAAACTCTTGACTGACTGACTGACCGAACTTTTTTTATGTTAGCTCTACTGGTATAAGTCAAATAGGTCTTTAGACTGGAAATATTGAAGATGAAGATTGTTCTATGCATCTGGTTGTTGTTTGAATTTATGGATAATTGGATGTCAGTAGATAGATTGTGCTTTTTTAACTTTTCCAATATATCATCTCTGTATGTTAATAATCCAATTGGGTATGGACACTACATGACCCCTCCACGACAATTCGGTTTCACAATTCCTCACGAGACTTGTTAAACACGGTAAGATCCCCTATGCCAAATTTGTAGGTTAACGGAGACCGCCAAGCACACGTTAATTGTCTGTACCGCCTATGCGGCACTGAGGTCTAAGTTGCTGAGGTAGACTGGGCTCTGTGTTCTATCGTACCGCGATCTCCCTCAGCTAGTGACCTAAGAGAACTAGCCGTACTAAGAGTCCTTTACGTACGGGTGGAAAAACGTAATTGGTCCAGCCCACAACTACTTCGGTAGAAGAGAAGAAGCTCCACCAGAGGATAAAAGAACCAAGATGAGGAGGATGTTTTCATAGGCAGAAAAATCTAAATATATTGATTGCAATATTGGATAGATATGCATGTATGTGTAACTATGCACTAGGACAAACACTCGTATTACCTAAAAGGCATGGAAGAGATTTAAATAAATTAAAAATGCAGTTGGGAATACTTCATCAAACTCTACAGCCATAATTAGTAGCTCTCTATTATTCTTTTTCTGAGTAAAATTATAAAAAGTCTAAGAATAAAGTTTTTTTTAATCGAAATAGGTATCGAATTTAACTTACATAAAATAAGAAAAGGATAATCCCAAAAAAAAACAAAATCTAAATGAAAAATGATAATAGACCCAAAACATCCTTTACGAGCTAATTTTCTACGACTATTTATTTCCAGGATAAATATTTAGCATTTTATATAATTAACGGCTTCTGGTTTGATGAAAGCGATAAAAGCTGAGCAGGCCAAGGTTGCTGGATACCTCGGCAAGGACAGGGTCAGAACTCTTGAGGCGTTGGCCTTTTGACGGCCAGCAGCAACATATAATAATATTATATACACAACTTATATGTTTATAAATTTAAATTTTTGAAACATACAATTTCGTACACTTCTTGTATCAAAAAATAAATAAATTAAAACGTCATAAAGTTCACAAAAAAAAAACATCTAAATGTCCTTTACTTTAATTTAGTAAAATTTTAAACTGAAATAATATCAGTTACATGAAATATTTTTTTAATCATTTATTTCTTTTTAGGAGGAATGAAAAATATTACAAGTATACCCCAGTGAGAACTCTCACATTAGAAAATGTTTGTATATAAAATATAATATTATTCCGGTACCTATTCTTTCACAGCATTGGCTGATGCGGATTTAAGTTTATCATTTATGATGTACCACAAACATTAAAAAAGGGATTTAACTGGTGACTCGTGTTTTCTTCTTTATTATTTAATTTATTAAATTTACTAAGAATATTATTTTCTGCAGGCAATCATCCTCACAGTGATGCTGCTACCTCTGCGGCTGGGCGTCATCGTGGGCCTTCTTGTTCTTGCTTGGCTGCTGGCCTGCCTCGGAATGGTGGGGCTTTCTGAAGAAGACATCACCCAACGACCACTTCTCGGATGGAGGAGGTAAGTCACCTTTCAAACAGTAATGAATACTTATGTTTTATTTTTATTTTGCAAGGTCATGTAGATGATATTATGTGGAAAACTCAACATAATTATGGTGAATCGAACAAATATATTGAATATTTAAAAATAAATTTTAAATGTTTGGACAATAGTAAGATTTTTTTTTATGCGTGACAGGATATAATCAAAAATATCTTAACAAAACAATTAGATGTATTACAATTTATATACATAAAACATGAGAGGAAGAGGGACAGACTCCATACCGTAGTATATATACTTCTAATATATATACTCAATACATTTATAGTACGATTTCTGGCAAAAATGAATAATGTTAAAAATTGGTACTTTTATTTCCTAGTTTGTACAACCTCCAAATAGAAAAAAAAGTTTTCATGTTAAGACTAGTCATGTTAAAATATCGATGAAAACACTCTCTATAAAATATATGCATACTTGTACCGAAATCGATTTTCATTATACCATCCATGCATCTAACCTATTCTTCGGTATCTTCTAATCGGTTGGAGTGCTTTTTTATTAAATTATTGTTTTATCTGTCATATGTGAATATATTAAAATTTATCGCAAAATCTTTTCTTTCTGATAATGTTAGAAAGTTAAATTTATTCCTTAAATTCTTAATGCTCACCACTAGGATCCAGGATTTAATTTTGAGGGAGTGCTTCAGCCCGAAATATTTTTTTTGTATGTATATAATAGGATAATTACTTCAAAAGAAAGAAAGAAACTAACTACCAATACGAAATGGTGTTTAAGTGATTCTTTATTATTAAAAGTAATTAAACAAACAATAATAGTTTTAGAGATAATTTTTTTCATAAAACATGGTTATATTTTACCAATTTGGGGGAGGCAGATTTCAGCCCGAAAGCCCTCCTCCCCCGTAGATTCGCCTGTGATGCACACTATATTAAAGAGGAATCATACAAGGTTTTATTTTTGATAGTGGATTAATCAATTAAATTATCATTTTAACAATCAGTAAATAATAATTTAATTAAACAAAGTTTTATTTTGTTTAATCGACAGAATCAACCAAAAAATTTAAATAATAAAACATTTTATGTAGTTGTATATAAATATGAATTATTCTTATTAGTGAAAATTAAATTTTTCTGTTTGGTCCATTTCAAGAATGATCGAAAATCACTAGAAAATAATCTGAAAATATTTATGACAAACAATCTTCTTTAGGTTATACATATCACACTGAAAATATCATAAATTGTTTTTTAAAAATGAAGAAAAGGCATTTAATATTTAAATGAATGATTCAAACTATAGTTTACTAATATATGTGTCGCTTAACACATCATTAGAAATTAAATGCGATAATTGTTGAAACGATTACCTCGAAGTCATCCCACCCTTAATAGTACATTGCTCAAGTCAACTTTCGACTGTATAGGCCTCGACCCTTATGGCTAATGAATCTTATAATTATTTGTGAGAAGAAACTATCGAAATTACTATAATTTTTATTTTTATTATTTTTTTTTTACAGTTATAGAAACAGCTGATGTATATATTTTACCGGTTTTGAGTTCATACTTGTTCATGATACATTGATTACAGATACATGTTTTAATGAAAGAAAACACTTCAAATAAATAGTTTAAATATAGATAGTTTCTGCTATGAATTTTCGTAAACTGTTTAATGAATGAACATTTTAGTACAATATAGTTTTTGTGTATATTAAAAATACCAGATTTGTTGTGTCTAAAATAACCGATTCAGTCCATTCCTTAATTGGTTTGTTTCTTCTTGTAGATATGTCATTATATCTTTAACTTTGAACCAAAGGTTAATTGCCAGAATGGTGGGCCATGGTGTAAACGGGATGATTAGGTTCTGGCTACAAATTTGTTTGAACGTGTTTGGAGTGGTAGGTATGGACAACTTTTGGAGGTTCAGGCCTTATTAGTAACCATCGTGTGAAACTTGACGTGTTTATCCACAGCAGCCAATTTGTACTTGTTTGTCTTTATATTTACTACACACCAACAATAGATTGGACAAACATCCAACTTCCGTGGTATAACATCTTTCTATTTCGTGTCTCAACTCCTAACAGTTATTCCTTCCTCTCTCCCATAAATCCAACTTGTAGGCCAACATCAAAAAGAGTCCAGATATCTTTTCATATTTTCTCCCCTCCCTCCCTCCCACACGCGTTAATGAATTCCTTAGAAGAACTTACAGCAGTTATATTCCAGGTTTCCTTTTATTGCAATCATACTTTGCTCCTATACATTGATTGCAGGAGTAAACAGGAACTTAGGGGTTTCCGTATGTACGAAGTACGTTCCGTAGGAATCTTAAAATGTTTATTACCTTTCGCACTCGATCCACCAACTTACTACGGTAGGAGTATTACATGTCATGTAATTTTGGAATCACTTGTATGAAATTTGTATTATACATTTAAAATTCGAAAGCGGGATTCGTCTCTTTCTTCTTCTCATTTTCGGTGTGTCACGGAAACTCTCGTTCCTTCGACACTTTGTCTGTCAAAATACAATGCTACCGAAAGTCGGACGCTACCATATTAAAATCGACGTCAATACTGTAAAAGCCTGTAAGTGCAAAACCTACAATCATTCATATGAGGAAATAATACAATTTATTGCAGCTATTTTATTTTGCTTTAGTTTTTACTGGATGCGAAAGCCAAAGATAAAATGGTTCAAATAACTACATAGTAGATTTCTATTATAGAAAATTAGTTTATTCTTATTTAAAATTTGAGAAAATGAACAGTAGATCGATGGGAAGAATCGTTTCTTTAACCATAATAGTGAAAATCATAGATGACCTACATTTCACAGCTAAATGTTGTTTCATTCTCACGAATAAACGCTGCAAAACCTCCCGTATTATACAACAAGTTATTGTATTAGATAATGTTATAAGGGAATAATGGAATCACTTCCGTGTATATCAGTCGAAGATTTAATGATGTTGATATACAAACCGCAATTGTCATTCTGAAACCAAGCTATATATATTTAAAATAATCAATTTCCTGGTTTCAAATTAAGTTATATTTTAAATACTTCATTGCTTTTCTTCAAACTAAGCAATTAAAAATAGGTGCGACATTTATTTAATTGTTCATTGTATAATCATTTACAGGAAAAAATATATATTTCATGTATATAAAACGATTTCTTATCTGAACCAATTATGAATTTAACCTAATATATCACTCAATTTCTACTACTCCATAACATATTTTAGTATAATTTCATAATAATAAATAATCTTATAATCTTATTATGATAAATTGTAGAATATATAATCCTGGAATCTCGATGGGATTATTATTCTGAAGGTGTAGATGCAGTTAGCACGCATTTGAGGAGCGCGAATGGTACGGAATATTTGCTATGGATTTTTCATTGTTAAAAATATATAAATGCTTACAACTTTCAATGACTTACAATTCAAGTTAAGTTGGGAAGGAGGCGTGTTCATACCACGAAAGAGCATATTAAGAAAAATTATTCTTAAACGCTGTGATATAAATAAATTAGTAACCGGGAACAACATATGAACTATAAGTTTAATATATATATTTTTTTTTTGGAATAGAAGATAGCAATAATGTATAATTTTCACTCTTAGGCATAAAATCTAGCTTTATATCGTTGCGAAATGAGTATAGCTATCGCGATATAATCGTTTCAGTGTCAATTGTTAAGAACAGTTTCATTATAAGAAGATCATATACAAAGTGTCCCAATCTGCTTTAATCCATGTTTTCTATAGTTATTATATTCATTGACTAGTCGTCTTTTATGTATACTTGAATATTTGCGACACTCCTTCACGAAATAGAAAACCTTGGTATTCTAATTCAATCTATCTAGGCTGTGAAGTAATAATAATTACTAGGGAAGAAAAGATCCATTCAATCCATGCTTTCCATTCAATTAACATTGTTAGTTTTTGAATCGGACAATAGCTTCCTTCTTCTATGACTTTCCATTCTTCGAGGCTCATAAATCAAAGGTGAAAGAAAAGTTTCAGGAATAAAACATGTACTGTAAGACGGGTTAACTTTGGGACTGGGTGGGCAACTTTGGGACAGCGTGTAAAATTTAGTTTGTGGTGATTCTGTGGTGGATACACTATGTTGATTAATCTGCAAAAATGTGCTTTGTTTAGGCATATACTGTGCAATTCACTGTACTGTACCTTGAGACACACTACTCCTTAGGCACAAGCGAAAGTTACGTGAAAATAAGAATTTTGAAAAAAAAGAAATGAAAATAAACAAAATCTAACTTCACAACGAGTGTAGTGCACTAGAGTTCTCAAACACAAGGTAGTAGCGTAGTGCATTCCTACTCAAAGCATGTTCTTGCCGACTGAACCAACACAGTGTATCCACCACGGGGCCACGACAACCTAAATTTTACCCGCTGCTCCAAAGTTACCCCACACACTAACAACGTAAGCCCATCTTACGGTATTGCTAGTTTGGATAAAAAATGCACATAACAAATTTAGAAAAAAAAATCAACTCATATTGTTGAATTTCAAGAATGGCCATATCATCTGCGTATGCTAGGGATTATGTTCGTTTTTTTATTTATTTTTTTTGTTTGATTTTTCATTCCGACGAGCATCCCTCCAACTTCTATTGATGTCATCCTTATCACCTCCTCTAGGACTAATTGTAAGATGACCAGTGTCGGTCAGAATCCATTTTCCTGCCACAAACCTGAACAAACTTCAAAGGCTTTAGATATTTCACTTCATATCAGTGCTCTATATAAGGATCTAGTACTCTCTAGTTATGATCTTCCTAAGACAGTTTCTGTCCATAAAATCACAAGGAGTGTTATCTATGAACTGGAGAAAGTCTACCCAAAAAGTAGCTTAGTGCCGCTAAACCATTATTAAGATATGGTATTTTAAAAAATGTTACAATAAAACCACGTTTTTCACGCTGAAAAATGCATTGATGGCACTTGTGTGCCATATAAAAACATACATGGCACTGTCACTGTCATCGAATCTATGTATTAACTAAAACTAAGTTATAATAAAATGTATACATGACTCGTAGTAAATAGACCCAATTCTTGACGCAGATAACCTTTTTTGATTAATATATTAGTAAGTAATTATTATTAGTCCGTGGCACGGGCCGATCTAAGGGGGGGAGGGGGTCTTTCGGGCTGAAGCCCCCCCAAAAATAGAAAAATATAACCATGTTTTATGGGAAAAAAATTTAAAAAATACCTCTTAAAGTATTGTTGTTCGTGTAATTACATTTAAAAGTATTTAAGGAATAACTTAAACACCATTTCATATAGGTAGTTAGTTTCTTTCTGTTTTTTCCAAAGTAATTATCGTTATTTTTATGAAAAAAAAAAGTTTCGGGCTGAAGCCCTCCCCAAAATTAAATCCTGGATCCGCTAGTGGTCCGTGGTACAAAATCCTTTTAATCAAATTATTAACATCCACCGGAAACTTCGTAAAGAGCTTCATCTGATCGTAACCAACAAATATTTGATTAACCAAATTCCTCGGAATAGGGGTGTTTTCAATCTGGAGATCGGCAAACATTGTCAATTGCATTATTGCAAACATTAATTAGGTAGTAAAAACTCATGAATACCCATTTGCTTTCCACTTAAATCGTAAGATAATACGATCACAAATACGAAAAAAAAAAGGTGGCCAAAAAAATATTTTGGCATTTGGCATATAAAACCTCGTTATGACAACTTTTTCGGAGTGGAGGCCAAACGGACCAATATCTTTATAGGTAATTTTATTTTTCGATTTTGAGACCATATCATCTTACGATTCAAGTGGAAAGCAAATGGATATTCATAGGATTTTAATACCTAATTAAATAGACCAAGTTTGCCGATCTCTAGATTGAAAACGCCCCAATTCCGAGAATTTTAGTAAATAAAAGATTTGTAGGTTACTATGAGATAAAGCTATTTACGAAGATTCAGGCGGATGTTAATAATTTGATAAAAAGGGATCTGTACCACGGACTATATACATCATTCATTATTATTAATATATATTTTTTTCTAGTAATTCTTATTTTCTTAACTAAATGTTTTACGTTATTTTCCACAAAAAAAAAAAAAAAAAAAAAATCACAATGGATGTATTGATTTAATCTCGCTAGATTGCTTAGGAGACCCCACTGTGGTTGGATTGCAGCCTTCACCACCGAGGAAGTTTACTTCCCTGACCCGTCTCAATCCCGACCTGAATAAACATTTTTCGAGTCTGTTTCCTGAACCTCTTTAGCGAGGTCAGCCGTCGAATATATTAGTCTTCTTACATCCGATGTTTCTTAGACCGTTTAAACCGATTTATTTTATTTAAATGACGACAAGTTCGTAATAAGTTATGCCGGTATCATGTTTTAAGCAACTTCCAATTCAATAGGATGTACCAAATTTATAGAGGTTGTGTGATCCTAACCAACCGACTACCATCCATCCCTCCTATTTCCTTCCTTTGTCAGATGATTTTTATTTGTACAATACATTTGAGCATCAGATATGATTTTTTTTGTAATATCATTTTCGATAGTCGCATTTCAACATCGATATATCTTTATAAACATTAAAGGACAAAAATATCGATATATTTATAAAAAATATCTTTTTAATGTACCTTCCCTTACAGGCAAATTTACCTTAGACGCACTATACCTTTCACCCTTAACATCATTGCTCATGTAGCGCGGGTTCCGATTCGTGATGAAAATGAAAGCGAAAGGCTTTCTGTTTCGCTTGCTTTACTCAACCACTAATAAATATTTTTTAATTTCTCCGCTCCTTTCGAGTTCGCTGTGGAACAGAATTTTCCAATATCTACTCCGTTAAAGCCGGTGTTCTCCAAGGCAGCGTCTTGAGTCCCGTGCTTTACATCCTCTTTACTGCTGACATCCCTGTTCATCCCGATACTTTCCTTGCAACATTCGCTGACGACACCGCAATCTTATCATCCAACTCTGATCCCGAAATAGCATCCTTAAATCTCCAAAGCCACCTCACCTTGATTGAGCACTGGTGTAATAACTGGAGCATTAAAGTTAATGAAATGCCAACATATTACCTTTACACTCCGACGCAATTCCTGTCCACCAGTACTGTTTAATTCCATCCAGCTTCCTTACTCAGACACAGTCCGGTATCTTGGCTTTAATTTAGACCGAAGATTAACGTGGAACCCGCATACTAGACTCAAAAGACAAGAATTCAACCGACGATACGGCCAACTATACCGACTACTAAACAGAAAATCTAAACTTTCCATTGAAAACAAGCTACTGATCTACAAGACAATACTGAAACCTATTTGGACTTACGGACTAGAACTGTGGGGATCAGCAAAATTTTCTAACATCAAGCGCATCCAATCCTTCCAGTCAAAAGTCCTTCGAATAATAGTCGATGTTCCTTTCTATGTAACCAACAAAACACTACATAATGACCTCAACATCCCATTTATCCTATACCTTATCCCAGAAAAATTCTCCAAATTTCACCAGAACCTTACGTACCACCCAAATCCTGTTGCACAATCCCTATCAAACACCTCCCATCCCTATAACCCTCCAAGAAGGTTGAAACGGCAGTGGCCTCGCGTCCTTTTGTAGATTGTATAAATTGGAGTTCTGGCAATGGCCAGATTCTTCACTCAAGACATGAGTGTATGTGGCTAAAGTGCTCTCGACCAATCTCCGCTGGCTTTAGTACCAGTGATGCGGTTGGGAGAGTAGCGCAGGGTTCTCCTGGAGTTCCCTCGCCTGATTGTATATAGCTATGCATGTTTTTTTTTTTTTCTTAGTTTTAATTTTCTTATTTTTTTAGGTTATTTTATTTTATTATCTATTGTATATAATTTTGATTATTATTTTGTTATATTTATTTTATTTTTTTGTACATATAGTATGAATGTCTATACCTACCTCACTATAACCAATGTCCAAGAGATAGATTGTTATAAAACTCAATAAATAAATAAAAAAAAAAATTAAAAAAAATGTCTTTGACTACTATCTAGCAATTATGTTTTTCTTATATAAAGCAAAGGGACTAACATCGTAGAGGGTTAAACGTATCAACATATCTGAGGTACATTTGTATCCATTGTTTGTCTGTTGGTAACGGAATTTTCTAATATTAAAAAAAAAATATGCTAAGATTATAATTTTATTTGAAAACTGGTTGTAATATGATATAATAATAAGATAGCTTCTTATAAATCTTATTAAGCTTAAAAACTTTCAATAACTAAATAACCAAAAACTCCCATTTCATTTGTTCAATGGCTGCCACATGTCATAATCACCAGATCCTTAACAATTACATTATTACTAAATGTAATTGTATATATTTTATATAATTTTATGAAAACTATTCCAGACAATTTGTACACTATTCCACAATTTATTTTCCAAATTAGGTTGAAATAGAATAAGAAAAAATTTAAATATATGCTTATGAAGAAGTTTGCGCATCGGTAAACATAGATAGGAGATGAAATTTGATAAAATTAATACTCGATCATCTTTTTTTTTTACTAATCACCGACTTTTCTACAATTTGGGACAAATCGAAATTTCGTAATACTTGAATTTTATTCTTTTGACTTAAAATTTACCTTCACTCAAACCGAAACTGTATAACCCAGTTAAATTTAATTTCTTTTTTTTTTTTGCTTATTCTTCGTGATATATTAAATCTGTATTTTATCTCCACAGAGGAGTTTTGGCCTTTCAGACATTACTCTGCGGCGAGAAAAATACTAGCCAAATACTCTTCAAGGACCTGCACTTGTGGAGGGATGAATTAAAAACGTTAAGTAACGTTTTCATAAATTTGATTCTTACTACTCGAAATAAGCAGTGTTCATTTAAACGTGAGAATCCAGAAGGGGGTTCTGGCTCAAGTTGTGCCATAAAAAAGTTTTCAAGGAGTAAATTTTTATAGGGTTTTGAATTTTTGATGGGGGGCATTCTGACGGTGTTATGGATTTTCTGAGAATGATCAATTAGTTTATGTGGTTTCAATTTAGAGGATTTTTCAAACCACATGGAAACAGCAAGTGTTAGATCTATATTTTTTTCATTCTACTTTCTTGCGCCAGGGTGAGCTCTACCTTGGGGGATGGGCACATCTACATATAGATATTTTTAATTTATTTAATATAATTAATCTTACAAATTAACTTCTCTGTAATTGTAATTTTATATGGTTAATTGTATCCTTCGTTGCAGGAAGGTGAAGAACATCATTGCCAAGATCATGTGCATGACCTACCGCGCTGGAGGGATGTCTGTAGTAGTCAAAGGAAGGCAGGCAAGCCGTTCCCAGGCGCCTATACTTGTCATAGCGCCACACTCGACGTTCCTCGACGCAGTCATAGTATACGTCACAGGATTCCCCAGCATCATCGTGAGGAAGGAGAGTGGCTCAAACCCTTGGCTAGGAAGTCAGTACCTCTATGGATTACAGTTTATCAATTACAAAATCTCTTATTACAAAACAGTTTGAAACATAGTAAAAAGTATTGGGTTATTTATTTTTAAATAGACGAAATCTGTTGAAAAGTATAATTTCATTATTTTTCTTAATATTTAGCATAAAGGTGCGTTTACACGTTAGAGATTTTTACTTTCGAGAGTTGTATATTTACTCTCGAGATTTAACTCACAAGTGTAAAGGCCTCCGAGAGTTCACGCCGAAAGTAGAGAGTGGGATCTCCGAGAAATGCAATGTTAGATCTTTTTATTAGTTTTACGATTGCGATAAATTTAAAATCGTTGACATATTTTCTTATAGAATCTTTGATAATGCATAAGACCTCTGGAACCATTCAGCAGGAAAAATATTAACTACGTCGAAGATTTTTTAGGATATTTTTCTCACAATACCTGTTCTAAATAACTTTTTTTTTCAATATTAGTGAAAGGAATTTGTTAAAGAAAGGAAGATATCGTCCTGACAAGATTGAGAATTGGTCATACTGACTTTACACATGGTTATTGACGAGAGACCTGCGGTCACCATTATGTAATAAATGGCGTACGACAATCCACATGCACAGTATACACTGACACCAGAATAAGATACCGTAAACATACCTCAATAACAGAAACATTAGTTGACAATGAAGAGAAAGTTACTGTGATATTAAGTTATAAGTTTTTAAGTGCGATCAATACAAATGTTAAGGTGGATATAACTTTGGATATTGTCGCCCGTTAATGACCCGACAGAGTAGGGCAGGATAAAAACAAATGAATAAATAAAATAAAAAATCTGATGCAGGTGCATCACAAAACTCTCATCAATAAATTATTAAAGTTATCTATTTATTTTATGCGGAGATTACATTTCAACTCTACGCAAACATTTATTTCCTAACTGAAATTCATTAATTTTTTAACTCTTTGTTTTCATTAAGCTTTCCAACGGTATATCAGACATCTATAATACTAACTTGTGCTAAAGGTGCTATAGTCTCCAACTAGTATCCATAGTCTACTACTATGGAAAATAGTATAGAGAGATTAAATATGAAATAATACTAATAAATCATAAAGCAATAATCAGCTATTTTGTAAAAAAAAAAAACAACTCAATTTTTTACTCACTAACACTAACGAAATTAAAGATCATTCAATGTGACTTCTGTATAAAGACTTTAATCAAAATCATTAGTGCCGCTTTTGAGAAAACTGTAATTCGAAATTTTTCACGATCGCAATACTTTCTTTTAATGTGAATTTCATATAAAGATAAGTAGAAGTAAAATTGAATAAATATAAACTACGAAAGAATTACATAAATAGCTAGAAGAAAAAATCATAAAACATGTTCTCGTTTGAAAATAAATGTCCAAACATATTCGTAGAAGTATGTTAATCGTAATGCAATCGTTGGAAAGCTGAAGATTTTATAAACATTAATATCCAAAATATACAGTCGTAGAAGCTAATAGCAAAAAATTAATTTAAAAATTCTGTTTACATTCACTGACATATATATGGAAATATACTTCTGTTCAAATAGGGTGGTTAAAGTTTTGTGATGCATCATACCAGTTCATCTTTTTCAAAAATGAGTGTTTCCCTATTATTCTTAACAAATTTCTTGCCAACTCAAGCTTTGGTCTTTGAAATACTTAGTTGTATTCCTGTTACTTTAAGTTGGCCAAGGGTCGTGCCTGACCTCAATGACTTTCAAGGAGGGACTGGTAATCGGGATGAAAAATGAATTCGGATGAAACTCGTTTGTAATGAATGAATCTCCAATCCAGTATTCTAAATAACTATGATAAAGGAAAAAATAAAACAAAAAATCTATATTCTCATGATATCAAAGAACAGATTGATTACAATAAATATCACTTGTGTTAGTACATTTGCAACGATTAAATTTTGTAATTTTTTTCCTTGATTCCTCGAAAAAGACATTACAACTAAAAATTAAAAAGAAAAATTAAAACATTACATCTGGCATAAATAAAAACAATAACAACAAAGAAAAAGAAAAAAGTAAAGAAAACATTAGTTAAACGAGCTATTGACAAAACAAATAAACCTATATATAAAACACTTAGAATTATGACAAGACACTTGAAACTGTGGCAGGGGTAAAACATTATAAATATATACTTTTAAGAAAACAATTAAGAAAAATAATAAAAAATACATTAAGTTCTTCTTTAAAATAAGCTCTGTGTTTATGCTGACCAAGGGAAAGTGGAATCTGACAATATAAAATGTTAAAGTATTTAAATAATTTATAATATGTAAACACACTGTAACTATAGGTACAAATTTAGTTGTATTTATTTATTTTTGTTATTTTAAATTTGCCACTGCGTTGGAACGCATCAAGCAAATGTGTTGGCATTAATTATATCTTCTTGAAGTCCTGATATCTTCTTAACTTTTCAGCAGATCTCTAGGCCACTGCCTTTTTAGTCGTCTTTGAGGCTCACCAGGTAACAGGGAGGAAGATAGAGATAGAACGAGTGGATTTGGATGATTGAGAATAGAAGTGTGAAATGTTGTGTATGTAGGATTTTACTTTTGGTATGTTCATGTCTTTGTGTATGGTGTGATTTGAAATAAACCAAGGAGCATTGACAATTTTACGGAGTATTTTGGATTGTGTGGTTTGAATTGAAAGCCAGACCGCAACCCCGGACCATCTTCTTCCTTTATAATGCAACGGTCAACTATTAAATATTCAACAATGTATACAATGCATATGTTGTGGCATTAACAGTAGGAATATTTTTTAATATCCCTAGCGAAGTTTACAGTATGGAATAGCACTATATTTGATGATGCATGATATAAAATAAAGGTGTAATCCCAAAAGGTTAGCAAGTATCTGACTCTTTTTGGGACAGTAATTGGAATAGAAGGATTTTGAATGTGGATATGGAGAGGGAATGCCGAATTTTGATAGGGAGGAAATTCCAGAAATCGAGAATGCGAGCAATAAAAGAGTTTTGAAATGAGACAGATCTGTGAGAAGGGATGTGAAGGTTGGAAGGTCGACATCTTGAGGAAAAGTAATGAACTGAAGACTTCAATTGGATAAGGTTGTAGGCGTAAGAAGGACGATGATTGTGATGATTTGATAGAGGAACGTACCTAGAAAATAGTGTCTTCGAGAGGAGGGGAAGAGCCACTTTAACTCAGTACAGTAGAGAGACATGGGAGTATCTCGGAGTCCCAATTACACATCTTAAGCAGCTATTCATTAGTCTCTTCAGTCAATTACGGAGCTCCATCGTACACCACACAGCTGTAGTCAAAGTGGGGGAAGATAAGAGAGAAAACTAGGAGTCGACGGATATGTTGATTTAGGAGATGGCGGAAGCGATGGAATAGTTTGAGGGTAGACATTGTCCGTCGGGAGATGTGAGAAATATGATGGTTCCAGGAGAGAGTTCGATACAGAGGTATATTGTTGCTAAATTCCAACAAGACTTTTAACAATTGATGGTATAAACCAAATTATCTCATCTTAATTACAGCGTAATGTCAAAATTGTGTCTAGGTGTCCATTTTCCATTCAAATAATTCACTACTGATCTGCTTTAATTTAAAGTAGTTTCTTGTAATTTACTGTATTACTTAAATGGAGAAGTGATCGTAACGTATTTGACCTCGGGACTTAACGCCTTGTTGAAAAGTAACCAAATTTGCATTCTATAGACCTTGAAATTGGGGTTAATCATTCTTCTTTAGATTTAATTCTTGAATTCTAGACAAGAGTGTCGAAGCGCGCAATATCATCAGCGCCATGTTAAAGTAACGAATGCGAATTTGACTAATGTAAACTTTCGGTTATGATTATTCGTTAATACAACGTGTACATATCTAACAAAGATAAATTCGTAAAAATGGCCTTCCGGTCGCCGTTCAGACTTGACATTTTGCCACACGTTGGACATGGAATACTGTGGCAAACGATTTCTCTCGCAATTAGCTCCTCTCTAGGTTCTATCGTCCGAGACAAGTCCACCTATGACCCTGCCAGCTAGTTCTGGCACAGATTAATCAACCATAAAACTTGAATATCATTTCTAGCAATCCTTCAAAGAAATCAAAATTAAATCGATTTCGTAACAAATGTTGCTAAGTAGTCAAGAATGCCAACATATCATTGATGGTATATATAATTATTATATAATAATTATATAATAGTTCGATTTAAGTTAAAGATAAGCACAAATCGCATTCAATAAAGAATACTTTACGGAAATTAGGTAAATAAAGTAAACGAGAACACCTGGTTTCAGAACTGATCAACTACACACAGCCCGTTTACGTTAGGAGAGAAGATCACGATTCTAGGCAGAAGACAGTACAAGAACTCATCAACAGGGTCAACTCAAAGGAAGATTGGTCCCAAGTGAGTTGTGGTGTTTTTTTCTTTGCTATAAGTTATAAATATATAGTTATATGAGGTAATGGAAACAGTATTAAGTTGACTAATTTTAATTATTTTCGAGATTCTAGTTATATTCAACAATCCTTAATATATTAATGGCACGTTTACACATTTCTCTAATTAAGAGGTGTCCATTCCCCTTCCCACATGGTCGATGACGCATGAATTCCTCCTCCCCCTCCCCATCCTCCCAAGAAATTTTATTGCTCTTTTATTGCTTAAAAACAGTGAAAGCAAACCTTAAATTTTAAAAATCATAGGCCATATGCAATAACACTTTCAGTGGGATTTCGTTCTCTGGTTTGAAACTTTTCATTTCGAAAATTTATAACCCCATCGAAATTTGCCCACCTTTAAAATTCAAAGTCCCATCAAAGTGTGTCGCCCTCAAATATTTTGATGGTGCAACTTCCGTCATTAAACCCCCTTCTGGACACCTCTGCTCTATCGCCGCTAAACAGAATATTTATACGCTTATATTTATGAAGACTTATTTTTGATCTGATATTTGAGACGTATTTTTCATTTGGTATATACTACTTCTATTTTAAAAAGAAACAATATGCCGATGACACATGTATCCTATCAGTCAATAATGACCCAGCAATTGCATCCCAAATGCTTCAATCACACATCATAAATCTAGAAGAATGGTGTCAAAACTGGAGAATTAAAATAAACTCCAATAAATTCCACCAATTTATCTTTACTCTTCGTCGTAAACCAACAACTTCCTGTCCTACAGTTTCCTTTAACAATACTCCACTTATCCCTGTTGAGCAAATCCTATACCTAGGACTCCACCTGGACAAACGACTAACTTGGAATCTTCATACTAGGCTGAAACGACAAGAAACCGCTAGACGTTTCCGATTACTTCAGCACTTACTAGACAAACGCTCTAATCTTTCAATCCTCAATGCTCCCTGCTTTGTTACAAATAAAACCATCCATAATGACCTTAATGTTCCTTTTGTTTCAGATCTGGCCCAATCCAGATACCTCTCCTTCCATAATAAACTTCAGAATCATCCCAACCCTCTCGTTTCTAACCTTGCTTCCTCTTCAATTCCTGATAACCCTCCGAGGCGTCTGAAAAGAAGATGGCCCGTGATCTCCTAATGTAAACATATCATTAGAGTGCTTCCATTGGGTAGTTACTCAGCAAGTGTTTTTCATGTCATTATATACATTATGTTCTAATTTACTAGATGTATTTATTTAATACAGTTGTAAATGTCTTTAAGAAAAAAAAAAAAAGAAACAATTTGAAAAAATAAATACAATTTAAAAAAATGGGGGCATAAACGCGAATTACTGTTGACAGCTTCAAGTGAGACTAACACTAATGAGGAGATTTTCACAACCTTTAGTCCAATCAATGAATGCCCAAAAAAGGGGTGTAGAATAAGTGAACAGGGACCTATGCGATTCCTTCAGAAACTTCTTCAGGATGCTTAGGGTATAAACATATCAAGTCCTGACGTCTAGGTGGTGAGCCGGATTGAGAGGGGGAGGAAAGATTGTTCATATAGTAAATAAAAGTTTATACAATTATCTATAACTTATATTCTACAGGTTTTATTCGAATTCGAAACAGTTTTCGTGCTACGCGCTCGGAAAAAGATATTTTCGAAAAAAAAAAATATTTTACCTCACATCAAACATTCCTTCGTATTATCTAAGATATTCATCAGTGAAAGACATTCATTTAAAAGAAGTTAGAGACACTTATATTTTATTAAATATTATATACATATGCAAAATAATCTCCAACCTGTCTACAGTTACAGCTATTTTAAAATGTTGTAATTTTCTGAAAAAGTTGTTTTTATCAAATTCTTGACCCACAACTAATAATGTGTGGCCACACTTTAAATGTGCAGCTGTGAAGCTGCCAATCCAATTACTAAATAAAGTAGCAAAATAATCATGTTAATTGAAAATGTTAATGTTGTATTTTACAGATAATAAAGGTCTCATGATAATTTTATTCTATTTTGTTACATTAAATACATAAAATTATAAACCTCATTGTTATCACTGTTTTCAATAAATTATTAATATTACACTCCCAAATTTAGGTGGATTCACATTTTCATTCACTTTGGACTAGCAGATATTGGTAAGGGTTGGTCACCCATGGCATCTTCACCCTGAGTAGTGGTGGTACCAGACCCCCCTATGATACACCCCCTCATATCCCTATAAATTTTATATCGTTGTGTTCTTTGCAACTATTTATTAAAAAAAAATAAACGCAATGGTCCCACAAAAAAATGTGAACTCACTGTCCCAAAATGGTGGATTGAAAACTTAATTATGAAAAAATGAGTTTTTCAGTTACTAATATTCTGTATTTGGTTTAATTTCGTCATAATTGGCATTTTATTAAAGCTGAATAGTCAGAGAATAATAAAACATCAATAAATACTTAAAAATAATTGGTTTAGGCAATGAAAATACTGGTAAATTCAATTTATTCAATTCCTTCAAACTAATGTTGAAAATAAAGAGTCGTTTGTAAGTAAACGACCACAATAACGAAAAGTGCTTTGTAATAAAACATCTGGACAATACATTTATCTTTCTAAATTAGTGATTAATTTTTAAAATATTTTAAACGGTTCCTTAGAAAATGCACATAATCAACGGAAAAAGTGGTTCTTCTGTAAGCCCCTACTGTATTCTTCCTCAGTAATCATAAATGACATTTTTGTAGGGCTGTAATAGCGTTTTTGGTATAACTTTTGTTTGTTTGTCAAATAATATGTGTAGCCACACTTTAAATCCAGTTATTAAATTACGTATAAAAATATAATAAAAATCATGCTAATTGAAATTTTATTTTATTTTGTTTTCAACAAGTATATCAAGAATATCAACAAGCAGTTGTTGCCGTAACTCTCTCCTTCTGTAAATTTAACTTAATTGCTCCTTCAACTACAAAAGTATATTTTCATTCTCCAGATGCTGATCTTTCCCGAAGGCACATGTACCAACAGATCCTGCCTGATCACCTTTAAACCGGGAGCTTTCTATCCAGGACTTCCTATCCAGCCAGTCCTGATCAGATATCCTAATAAAGTGGACACAGTTACCTGGACTTGGGAAGGTCCAGGAGTGTAAGTAATTTTTAACAATAATATCAAAAACTAAAACTATCAGCTATGTTCACTAAAAGCTATTTGTCTCTACTACTGAAATATCTCCCTATTTATAACATAGAGAAAATTAATACACACAGTCTAACTATAAAATGTAAAACAGAAAATTGATATTTTAGCATTAAGTTGATGTGGCTGACATTAGTTCAACCTCAAAGTGTCTGTGAGATCGAGTTCCTGCCAGTCTACACACCTTCTGAAATTGAGCGCAGGGATCCAAAGCTGTATGCACATAATGTTCGACAACTCATGGCAAGGTAATTCATTATACAAGATTTAATACTATTTTTAAAAATTATGTTTATGATTTTTACATATCATTTTAAAATTTAACGTTTTGGCTAAAGTAAAAGAATAAAACAAAAAAAATCATGTAAACAGATAATAATTTGAATTACAGAGCACTCGGAATTCCTACTTTAGACTATACATATGATGATTGTAAACTGGTTTCTCGGGCCAAAAAATTAAGCTTTTCAAAGACTTCACCACTTGTTCGGGCACACCAATTGAGAGTGAAGATTGGGTAAGATCATTTATTTTGAATTTTTGAGAAAAAAATATATAAAGTAGTCTTTGAACTAAATATATTTTTCTTTATCAGCTTATCAAGGAAACAAAAGGAGGAGGAATTGCTTCTAGAAAAACCTGGAATAATGAGAAAAACACAAATCATCAATTACCAACAATTTGCAGAAATTCTGGAACATCCTACATCAGACCCAGACCTACAAGAATTGTTCAGCTTATATGACAGGGTATAAATGATTATAAAATGTTTAATAGCAAAATCTTATATTATCTAATTGATTTTCATAAAATATACAGTCTTGATTTTTGATAACACTCACGCTGTCATGCAATACAGAGAATGAGTCAAGAAGAAGACATAATCATCTAGTCTGCTTAAAATTGAAATTCATAAGTTTTTGAGGCAAATCATCATTTACAGTGGATTACAATTATACATATTTATACATTGCCCACAAATGACAAGTGTCGTTCATAAATGAAATGAGCAATTGTTTTATTCCTAAGGGACAATGTGTCCCAGCAAATGATAATTTTAATTTAATTTCATTAAAAATAATTAATCCTTTAAAACTTCAAAACTTTATCATTCTATGCAATAAATGCCCGATAACTATTAAGGTTATTATTATTATTACTGAACATATAACTTTGCTATATGATAGGGTTTAGTGATTGTTACATTAGAAACATTTGAATTCCAATTTTACCCTCTTGCTGTAAATATAATTGAGGTAATATGAAAAAGGAAATATAGGCTTAATTCTGGCTTAGATAAAACTGTATTTTTGAACAATTTAAATTCTTTTACAATTAATTTTTAATGATTATAGTATTTACAGCAAAAGGTATCACATAGTGGGTCAAGCCACCACCTCAACTAAAATAAAATAAAATGTATTTGATCATTGATCTGTAGAGAATTTTGTTTTTTATGAATAATTTAAGAAACGAAGATAAGAACTTGTTCAAACTAATTTGTTTGAATACAATAGAAATGAAATAGATGATACTCACAGAACTGGTAAATCTAGAGTCAATCACTCAAGAACAATGTGAATATTTCATATGCCTTATATCACTATAAGTAATATATATGTATATTATAAGTAAAATATTATTAATTATTATTTTAAAGGAAGAAGATGGTCCAGGGTGGCGGTCATAAATAGGCTAAATAGTGGTAAAACTATTTTATTAAAAGTGGCTTGTAATAAAATAGTTTTACCACTATTTAGCCTATTTATGACCGCCACCCCGGACCATCTTCTTCCTTTATAATGCAACGGTAGACTATTAAATATTCAATTATTATTTTTATTTCATTATATATAATACAAATGAAATGATTAATGTTATATGTTTTTTTTATGTATTCTAGGAAGATCAAGGGTACATTGATTTGAGGGAGTACTTATTAAGTGTTGTTCTAGTTAACAAATCTGAGAGGAAAGCAGAAATGGTTCATCAAGCATTTGAGGTAATTTGAAATTCATTAATAATTTTATAAGAATTGTTTTCTATTTTTTAACTGAAACAAGCCTAAAGATTGGTTACACTGGAGGTCTTTACCAAATTAGTTCTAAAAATAATTAATACTTGTATTTCTAGATCATGGATAAAGATAATACACATATAAACTACCTGGTATTTAATTCTAATATATATTTGGATGATTTTATGACAAGTGATCTTTTCTTGTATCAAATCATCATAGTGACTTTTGTATAAAATAATTACTATAAAAAAAATATGAAGAACTTGGTTTTGTTTTTAGTATATGGTTTATACTAGCAAGATATCTCAAATCAATCATGATCAAAATTTAAATTCAATAGTCAATTCGACATTTATCTGTTTTTCACTGAGGGCATTTACCAACTTTGTGAACCCTATTACAGGACATGTCTACAAATATAAATTATTCTATGTTTTATTATATAATAACATTTCAGACTAAAACCTGAGACCCTAAACCTTCTATCTCGATTTGAAATCACCCCGTTTTTTTTTAATATTCGATCTAACAGAAGGACATTGAACAGTAAGAAACAATTGTTTTCCATTGATCTGTACTTTTTTGTCGCTAAAATTGGGTCTGCGAATTTGAATATATGTTTTTGGAGAAGTACCATAGAATTAACTGGAGGACCACCTAAATTTCCCACATCCCAACTTATATTATATTATGAAAAAATAAAAGAATAATAAAAATGGATAGCTGTCATTTTCATGATAACTGTGTCAGCCAAAAATTGATATTAATTTTTATATTTTTTTAAATTTCCAACGTACGGTAACGGACTACTTTCTTTCTATTTTAACTAAGGATTGTATTAAATAATTAATGAGATGCTTATAAAATATAAATTAGAAAATTAAAATTTATATCTATTTTTGAATCAGTTATTTCAGAAACAATACAACTGACATTTTTATAATTTTGAAAACCATGAAAAAACTATTTCATATTAAAATTGTATAGATATAAGTCTAAAAAAAAATATTGCATAAACAATCTTTATGGTATTTACATAATATGTTTTCTAGTATTAAAATATGTGTCCATGAACAATGTACTCTGAACAAGTCTAAACTCAAAACTATTTAAAAATTACACATCTGCTGTTTCTGATATAACCGATTTATCTATATTAATGTGCCTAAATAATCTTTTTCTTTTTTTAAGGTGTTCGGAGGGAAAGTAACTAGTCAAGAGTTTGATCTTATCTTAGGCCTTGTATTTCAAATGAGCTCATATGAAATCAATAGTATTTTTGCAGAAATTGACATCAATAATAATGGCTACATTACTTATGGTAAATACAACAGATTTCAGAAAATTATATGATAATAGTTTAAAATTATTGAATAATATGAAATAAGTTGCAACTAATGGGGAAATACTTTGAAACTTGACCAATCAGAAAAGTTTTGGCTTAAAGTAAGGGAGACCAGGGGTAGTCAGAAGAGTACCAATTGAACATTTCTACGTTATTAACATTTGATCAAGTATTTTCGTGGATGTTTCATGCATCCTATCCAAACACCCTCGCTTTCTTCTTCTTTGACTTGAATCGGTAATCCACAATTGTTGCCATTCGATGCCTATACTTCTTCCTATAAAATTGTTCGATTTCACATATTCTTTATTAATTGGGCTACTTCCTTTTGAATTTTATTTTTCTCTAGTCTCTAATGGTCTTTGACTTTTTATCTTTCTTTTTAATATTAGAAGTGAACTTCACTTATCAATGGTCAATGTGAATTTTTTGAACAAAACATGATAGGGTGACAGTAATATCCTGGTTTAACTTTTCATAGTGAAAAAACATCATTACCTATGCAAATCTGTTAATTAATTAAATGTAAAAATATGATTTAGACTTGGCATTCCCTACAGATATTGATTTGGGATTATAATCAAGTGCATATAAATAATTACAGTGCAGAAATATTGTTATTATTTCTTCATTTTTAAGGATTCCAGATAAATTCTGAGAAATTAGGAACATACTCTTCTGATTAGAAGACATGGAAAAGGAAGATAACCTGATTATATAAACTATTTTCAACACCCATGGGTGAATATTTGGAAACAACTGTTTGCATTTTCAAGTAAGACATTTTTAAAATTCATAGTGGGACATCCATTATATAAAAAGCAAGTTGGTGAATGAGCTGAATATGGGAGAGAGTTCAGTACATCAAAATCACATTTAAGATTGAATAATTAATACTAGAGGATTGCTGATTGACTGTAATGAATAATTGAAGAGAAGTTGTTGAGAAAAATCATTTATTTATTTTTATTTTGTTACTGGATACCCCAACTTCTCTTCATTAGAATAATTAATAATCAATTTACCATCCTATCTAATGATATTTTGTTTAAATGATCACTATCCCATAAAACGTTGGTATTAACTAAAATGAGTGAAATTTATTTCAATAATTATTTTGTCATTATTAATTACAGAGGAGTTTGAAGAGGACGCTGTAGGGAGACAAGAGTTCAGTTTAATATACGGTTCAAGAATTAGGAGGCCCTCGACACCAAAAGATGAGACTAAGACTAAATAAATTCATACTTATTATTATTATTTTATTCATGTATAAATCTATTGGATGTTAGAGAAGAGAGGCTCTATTATGGCTAGGATTATCCTGCTGCTAAACAGTAAATATATTCCCATTGCATGTTTTGTCTCTTTAGCAATGATTATAATCTGACAGAGTGATGTGGAATAATAATTCATTGAGATAGACATTTTTACCGCGAACAATAAAAATAATTGTACAAGCAAAATTCTTTAAAAAATATATTATTGAATTAGATTTGTTTTGGAGAGGCCCCAGGTAGGTGTTTTGTATTTACATCATCTTTCTCATGAAATATATTACTGAATTACAGAACTTAATATAATATAATTTCCCAACAGCAAAGAAAGCCATAAACCTTATAGAACAGTAAAATATTTTTACTGAAAAAAAAGTTTTAAGTTGGTATTATATTTGTTTACGTCCTCCAATAGTTAAAAAAATACTAGATAAAACAAATATTAGTAGCAATTGTCATTTTTGTAACATAAAGAATATTTAAAAATATATATATTTCTAGTAAAATTTAGTTTTTTAATAAATTATTACATATGGTCATAAAACAGAATATATTTATTTTACAGTGGCTAATGTTTGTGATATGAGTGATTTAAGAGCTTAGCTAGACATATCCAATTATATTAATTTAAGAAGGGCATTATTGATGTTAACAGGTTTTTCCCTTTAAAACAGAAAAAAAATGTATACATAATAATATAAACTATATATGAGGATAAATTTTGCTGAACAGTATGTTTCAATACTCTTTCTATTAAAATTAAGATTTTTGAAGAGCAATGCAAAATATCTGATGGTAATATAATTAATACCAAAAAGGAAAACAGAATTCTACAGTTAATTAATGAATTATGTACATCCGAAATAGTATGTCAGTGATAGAATGTGAACAGATGAGACTTTATTAGATTAAATTTTAAATATTATCAATTCTCATTAAATAGTATAGGCGTAACATTTAAGTTTTTGCAACAAGCTGCACCAGGTTTATAGCTAATTACATTATGACAAAAAAAAATGTATCCAATTCAGAATAGACTTAAGATTTCCAAAGCAACTTATTCATCCTACAACACATAAATATATCTTATTTTTAAAAATGTATACTTGTATCCTCTTTAAAATATAGCAATGTTAAAATTCTTTACCTAAGCATATTGTTAATTAGTCAGTAAATTTAGATTATTTTATAAGCCAAAGTGTCAAATCAAGTTGATTTGAAGTGTTAATAAAAATATGCGTTATTAATTCTTTTTTATTTATATAAAAAATACAAACAAAATTTTTTTTAGATGGGATTAGCTTTTAATAGTTAAGAATACTAATTATTTAGTTAAGCTCTTTTTTGCATGATGTTTATCATGTTGTAAATATTTATTTATGTTATTATTTATAAGTTATATTTTAATAAGGTAATGTTTATGAAATTAGAAGAAGAAAAAAAGGAGTATTTACAAGATGTAATTAATAGAATTCAATGAAAAATGTAGCAATCCTATTTTTGTAAATAATTAATATTTTTAATTTCATAAATATATTGTAATAAAACTCCTTTAATTATATTCATCAGTTTAAAAGTACGGAATTCATCTGTAAATTGTGTACAGGCAAATAAATAAAAATATAATTAGTATTATGATTCTCATTTATTCGTCAATATTCCTTTATTATTTTTGAAATTGATATTTGTCACTTCTCCATGAAATTTGTATTCGTTTGATACCTCCCTCATTCATCTTAGTACATCGCCCCTGAGAACCGGAAAAAAATTCTGTACTACCGCATAATACATAGCGTAGATCATGAGAAATAAAATTTAAGTTGAAATGGAATAGAAATCATAATACATGAAAAACATTTTTATTTAAAAAGATAATTATTAACTGCAGTCACATTAATGTTTAGTATACAAAACAGACTTATTTTATTTCGATTATACATCAACTTGAGTTCTAATTTGAATTAATCCATATAAATCTCCCCCTCTCTCCCCATAACATCATTTAGTTTTTATAATAATTGATTAAAGAATAAAAATTCTTTTCATTTGAAACTTTATAGAATTTTTACTAAGGATAATCAAATAAGATTAATTTCAATATTATAATTTACACTAATATGAAATGAAAAGCATGATGAAGCTAAACTGGAGGTCATTTTAGAATTAGATTTTCAAATGCACATTTTGTTCATGAATTATCTTGCTTATGAATGTCCTTTTAATTTTTACTTTAATGCTGCAATTTTAGAAATATTAAAACCAAAACTTTTTCTTTTAATAGTAATTTACTATAATAATATCATGGGGACTTTAAATCCAACAAGCAACTTATAAATCACAATCTTGGTTCAATAAGGTTGCAACTCACATTTTTGGCTAAAAAACTTACTCCTGAAATTTTCAGTGCTTCTGACTCTCGGAGATTGAATATACTTTCTTATCCTCAAAAGTTGTAACTTTAATTTACAGTTATGTTAATTTCATTTTAGCTTTTTTACCCATAACAATGTTTTAACTTCAATCAGTTTACACATATTTTATATTAAATCAGAGATAAAGTCTTTTTCTTATTCTAAAGTTTAATAACCACCTTGTAAGGATATTATAACAAAATTGGAAAATTTTATTGATAACGGAAAGTGTTGGCCCGTCAAATTTTTTAAGCTTAATTTTCCTTCAAATTAAGTTCAGACCAGTTAACAACTTGTCAAACGAAGTCACAAAATTCCAGTTTCCAACAATATTAAATAAATCAAAATTTATAAATAAATAAAGTAATGGTAACAAATTTATTTTCACTTTTTACTAATTTACAAATTATTTAAAATGGGTATAAAATTAGATAATACAGAACAATAAAACAGGCATACCATTTATTTATGAATTAATAAAGTTGGATAAAATATTTATTTTTACAATGAAATCTTAATATCATCAATAATGAGTGAGGTTAATGAATATCCCTTACCTTAAAAAACATAAAATTGTATTTTTATTATTTAATATCACACCAAATTTAAAATCAAGTAAATTTACTACAATAAGCTCACTAACATGTTATCACTAATAACTTGGGAACAATAAGATCACAACAAGTAAATATCAATATAAAAATTAACCAAATTTGTAATCACAGACATTTTAATCATGTTTTAACATAATCACAGTTTATATACATGGATATATATATGTAAATTTTCGATAATTTGATTAATCAGTCTTTAAATCCCAAACTTGTCATGAAGTTCCTTGGTTATCTTTGGCTAAGATTTGGATATATGGTGAGTGCTAAGTCCATGGAAAATTGTTACTAAACAGGACCACACCAATTACAGCATAACTTAAAAAATACCATTTCACGAACAAAGCAGATGTTGTTAGTTCTCGGCCATATTCAAATGGTAACAATGTCCACTTAGAAGAATTTACTTCTGACTTAGGCAAGGCTGAAAACTTCATAGCTGCTATCCAGTAAAGTACAGGACTACTAGAGGCAATAAGCCTTGTTAATACTTGGACGTTTATGTGCATAAGACCCCATACAGTGAGGAACATGATATGACCAAAATATAGAAACACAGTAGAAGGAAATTCATTAGTAACAGTCTTAACATTTGCTATGAACACTCTGTAGCTATAAATACGACTAGGATCTATAAACATATCAATATTTTTAATTAAATATTTGGTCCCATTATAAACAATCAAGTAAACTATAGGCAAAGCTAGGATGAAATTTGGTATTTGCTTAACTTTATAGTACTTAAGGAATCCTACATCCCACAGCTTCTCTTGGATGGTTAAATAAGGGAATGTAAAACCTCTCGCACACCAGTCTATGTGGTCTGTAGGCATTGTAAGATTATGTTGATTAGCATGCTCATATATTAACGATGATAGTTCTCTTTTTTTATCAACACAAAATACAAGATAGCTGTATATTTGAAACAGAATGTATGGGGAACAAACAACAGCTACATACTGCAATGTATGGAGTGTGAACTGCAGTATAAGATTCAAACTATGCTTCACATTAGATCGAGAAAATTGTCCCATACAGTAGTAGGCCCAAGTGTGCATCATGAACCCTGCAAAGGTAATGCCATTGGACCTCAAACAAACAGATAAACAGAACCAAAATAATGAAGAATATGTTTTTCTTCTAGAAAAGTCCAACATTCCTTTAAATGCACAATAAGAGAAAAAAGATTCTGTGTAAGGTGCAATAAAGAATATTGTAGCAGGGGATAGACAAAAGAATACTGAAGTCGCGTAGGCAAAGTTTGTATCATGATACATATATAAAGTAAGGTCATACAGTGCCAGTGAGGCTTTAACAAAGATAAAATTGTTGAATATAAGGGCACCAAGTAGTAGAGCAGCTAACTTATCTTCTGTTAGATGAAAAATTTCATTGAAGAGAAAGCCGAAAACTCGAGCTATAAATGGAAACAGAGGGAAGAAGGCTAGATTGTTTTCATAAGTATATCCAAACTGAGCAATATGCAGGAAATGGTGTGCATCCCATCGCAAGAGCCCAGACAGCAATCTCCAGAAACCTTGAAGACTTGTTGAAGGATCATATCCGGCTGTCTTGAAACCATCAGAACGCAAGTCAGGGACAACCAAATCTGATAAGAAAGAAATCAAGAGGAAGCCAACACGGCTAGCACAGCTGAAGTAGAAGACATGCTTCCTCTGAGGATCCATGTCACACAAAAATAAACTGTCACCATATCATACTACTGAAGAATCTCAGCGCAGGCAAATCTTAAAAAAAAACACAACATTCAAACAACTACACAACTAACTGTAACCTCCCACAAACAGGTGTAACTCTAGCAAACAATTGTCGATTCATCGAATTAAAAAAGTTTCGATACAACATATCGGACCAAGGTCATTTCAAAGAGGTCACTTATGTTTTACTTTTTACAAAGGTACATCCTGATGTCTGCTAGCT